GTTACACACAAGGGAAAAACATCACTATTTTCTTCAAGACCGTATACATTGATCGATAATCCTGCACGCTTTTCGAATTTTTTTACATCAGTCAGTTTGACTGGAAAATCTATCCCATCAAATAACTTGAGAAATCCATCTACGTAAGCAGTGTAGCTGTCGATCCGCTCCGGGTGTACGTTTGAAGGGTGGAGTGCTGCTAGACAACACCACATGAAACAACGCTGATCATTGTTTTTTATGTTTACAACAGCACGTTTCAAGCGAATTTTTTCTGGCAGGGCTATGTAACTAGACCCTTTCAAAGGCTTAAGTCGGTTGATATGTAAAAAAAGACATTCAATCGTTTTCATGTTCCAATTGGAGCCTTTGTGATTAAAACTTTCCATCTCAGTCAATAGTTTTTGTTTTGCCTCATTTAACAAATCTGATAGATTAGAATCTTCGTAAATGATGATGTTTTTCGTTTTGAATTCAAAATCAGATTCGACTTTTTCCGTAATCCCTTTAGCGAACTTTGCCTTAAGGATAAGTTGGATTTTCAATGAAGTTCCCTCATCACGAACCTTTTCAATTATAAGTTTTTTGGAATCTTCGATAAAAGTTTCAACACTTTTGTAACCATTTACTTTGACATTATTGATCTCAAACGTCTTCATTCGACCTCTGAACGCCGTTTTAGATTGGATGATTTCAAGATTAGGTGGTGGCGGAGGCTTACGTGGGACTTGCACTATGATGGATGGCTGAACTATGATGGATGGTTGAACTATGACGGATGGTTGGTTTAGTTGCTGTTTTTGTATCCACGCCGCTTGATGAGCTCTACTCCCAGTATGACGGGCCCAGTTTTTCCTAGTAATACTGAGGTGACATACATCACAGAATTTTAATGTTTTTGTATCGACTCTCCTGACAGGTAGAACCTGCACGACATCCAAAACATCTTCTTCCTGCTCTTGAATGTCCATCATCTCACTAGCACCTTGTAGTTGTTCCGAAATATCCAACTCACTATGTTGGGCTCGATGACGCTTCGGTGATGTAGGACGGGTCTTGTTATCGCTGTCGTTGTCAGTAGGAAACGACCGCTTGGTAGCACTTTGAACAACCGGTGACACATGATGTTCTCCGTCAGAGACCGAGGCAACATCCAAGCGGTGTTCTTCCCTAGCACCTTGTTGTTCCTCAATATCGTCTTTATAACGTTGGAACCAACGACGCTTCGGTGGTATAGGAAGGCTGTCGTCATCACTCTCGTTGTCACTAGGAAACGATCGCTTCGTAGCACTGACACTAGCCATCACCGCAAATCCTCGTCACACTTATAAATGGTTGAAAACTTACTTTTCACGCACTACACAATTTCAAAGACTCGAAAAATAGCACCTCTCACAACCACCTCTCAGAGAAGACTGACGCAAGACCGCGCGGGCTGTTGCACAATCGTCGAAACACATGACCATATATGGTAATGTTCTCGAACGTTCCAAGATGATCACGTGACCTATCACGTGGCATTTCCTTTTATGGTAATGTTTCTAGAACATTCCATGATCACATGATCCCAAGACAAGTGACGTCACTAAACACGGAACGACTCAACTCAAAAGACACGTAAAAATCAACATGAAAACAATGAGTTTCAAATGGCGTGTCAGTATACATTGAGATCGAAATACTGCATCTTCATACAAATCCTCTAGTGAAAACATGAGCACCGAATGATGCAATCGACGCCATTTTTGTGCAGTTGAGAACCTATTGGTGGTCCTATATAAAATGAGATTCAAAAGCTGTTGTCGTTTTCGATCTCAACCGTGAGATCCTATTATACGACAAGTATACCAAATGAGAACTGATTTAACGTTGCAATCGGCGTCATTTTTGTGCAGTTGAGAACCTATTGGTGGTCCTATATAAAATGAGATTCAAAAGCTGTTGTCGTTTTCGATCTCAGCCGTGAGATCCTATTGTACGACAAGTATGCCAAATGAGAACTGATTTAACGTTCTTTATATCTACACAAAAAAAAATTGTCATCCAAATCAGAGGATCAGTCTCTGTCTGTAAGATCATCCTCTGTTTACATGTGACGTCATGGACACACCTCCCTTCCCGACCTACCTCAACCCACGTGGTCTACACTCCTCCCTCCTCTGTCCTAGAACGTGAGTTTCAAATGGCGTGTCAGTATACATTGAGATCGAAATACTGCATCTTCATACAAATCCTCTAGTGAAAACATGAGCACCGAATGATGCAATCGGCGCCATTTTTGTGCAGTTGAGAACCTATTGGTGGTCCTATATAAAATGAGATTCAAAAGTTGTTGTCGTTTCTGTAAAGTCGTCCAAATCAGAGGATCAGTCTCTGCCTGTAAGGTTAGGTTAGGTTAGGCAAAGTGAGGTTACCTACCTCAACCCACGTGGTCTACACTCCTCCCTCCTCTGTCCTAGAACCCCCAAAATGACTACTACTCATAGTTGCATAAGCCAGTCACAGAATGTGCTAGTGTATAGAATTTCATTTTCTACCTAATTTTGTTGCTGAAATAGTTGATGGGTGAAAACAGTTGCTATGGCTGATAATAAGTCGTTCCATCAGTTTGACTTGGTAAAAAAGTTTATGTAATGAACAGAAATTCAGTGGCGGCATTAGGCCTGTTTTGCGGGAGGGCCCGCGAGCTGGGGGGGCCCACGAGCTTTGACCAGGACTTTTCGGGAAATTTTACTGGGTCCTGGTCCCGTGACAGGCTCCCCTAACATAACAATATTTATATGAGCAATATTATACATATATTATATGGCAAAAAATTGTTAAAACCTTGAGAGATCTAGCACAATGTTGGCAAATCGAGCTGGAGCAGAGCTTTTAGGATCACAATAATAGCGTAACCGCAGAATGCGAGGATGACGCCCACTCAATTGAATGATTCATGCTTTTGCAGCGATCATCTTGCCGCGATTGCAGAAGACAATAATGATGTCCACATGACAGCGGGAGACGTTGAGGATTTTGTTGCAATAGTGGAAGACGATATTAATGTTTCCGTGACCATGTTAGATATTCCAAATGTTGACGCTATCGCAGAAACCGATGATGGCGTTTCATTTTACGCGGGAGCTACTTATAGGATTTTGCCACAAATGCAGAACAAGATGATGTTTCGTTCACCGCGGGGTTATGGCCGAGATCACGGGAGACAATGATGTTGTCTATACAACCGCAGGATATGTCTTGGGTTTGGTTGCAATCTTTATGATAATGTTTCCGTGACTGTGGGAAGTATTCAGGATTTTTCCACTGTCACTGAGAACAATGATAATATTTCCGAAAACCTATGAAGATTTTCAGGATTTTGATCACGGAAGATGATGATAACGTCTCTGTGCCTTGGGAGATGCCGAGCCGATCCCAATCGCAAGCTTAGGTAAAAATATCTAGGATATTGTTTTTAAACATTATTGGGAGAAGGGGCTCTTATCGCTGCCACTGCAGAAATTAGTAGTTTACATCAGCACAATCTGTCAGTGAAATACATCAACTATGACAATTTTGATCAAAAAACTATCGACAACTTAAACATGGAGATGGAATGTGTAGTTGCATCAACAGTCCAAAGATTCTATGCATATCTACAGATGTCAAGGGAATCGAAAGTGTAATATTTTAAAATTCTGCTCCAACCAAATAGAGAGAGCTATGGTATATATATATATAAGACTTAACGGGATGTAGTTGTACACGCTAATAAAGAATGTAAGGCAAAAAGCAGCATAGATGTAGGGATAAAAAGGAACTTTGTTGGCAGAGGCCAATTGAAAATAAATTAACCCAGCTGTAAAATGTAGTGGTATTGAGTCAACCTTGTTCAACAAACTACTCTGCTTGGCTATTGGCAGTCTCGCCTTCAGGAGCGGCGTAATGTGAGGCCCTCGGCAAAACCAAATTTGGGGCCCCTTGTGTAACAGAAAAACTATACCAATTAGCTGATACAATTTCTTGATAATAATGTTTTTCATATACTAAGAATAATTTTTTTTACTCAACCCATGTTTAATTAGTACAATGAATAATGTCGCTAATTTATAAAGATGAAATGTAAGGTTAAAATAAAATAAGGTGGCTAGGTGAAAAATAACTGATGGTTCACTCTTTGCCTCGTAAAAACAAATGTGTTTAGGATCAACGTAGTCTCAGTATGATAATGAAGAGTCTCAATTATCCTAACAGAGTAGGGCCTTCACATGGTTGGATAATGGTAAATGTTGGGTAACCACTAGAAAGCAATAAAAACAATTACATGCATCCTCCGAGTACAATCAACGATGGATAAGAATATTGTCTCAATGCATCCATACAGTTTAAAAATCATACCATAAGGAAGCCGTATACAATCTCACAGTACCCGATCATCCCAGGAGACGTAGGGTAACCTAAGATCAGGTAATTGAGACATGATGTTCCATATAGGAGGATCTCATCTGCAGCGAGATATTGGCTGGATTTGCTTCACAGTTACGCTACCATTGGCTATGGCTGGTCATCTACTATCTAAAAGTTGGTTTATTTCCAGGAAAGATTGATTATGGGCCCAAAAGCCTTTGTCGTTGAGCTATCAATAATTGATTATGTCATTAGAGAATGACAAGACCAAGTAAGATAGTACCAACACCACTACAGAACTTCTGCAGTTAGAGCTGTTTTCTTGCAGATCAAATAAAAAAAGTCAATGGGGTAGGATAAAAACACCATTATTATTATGAAAGTACGCTAAACTCCACGACCCCACAATGCCTTCATGTAATGTTTCAATGCCTACATGATTATGGTTTTTATGTGTTTATTATAATGCTATTTTGCCTATATGTATGTTTTAACCTGATTCAACTTGAAGAATTAGACTATATAAATTATTCACATTCGTTTAGCCCATCAGCCACACAACACTCTGCTAATTTTATTAAAAAGCTTTTCACGCCAAAACCGTGACTTACAGACGAGGGTCTTACGACCTTGGATGCTTCTTATTCTTGGAATCTTGCATCCGACTGAAATGAAAGGTTGACAGAGTCAAACACCAAGAAAATTCACACTAAGATGATATTAAGTTAATTTTTATTTAACTTCGCTTTCAATTTTACTGCATTCACAAAATTTAGGCGGTTTTAGGGAAGGAAACTTACCCCTTCCACTTGATCCTATATTTAAAATAACAGCTCTCAGCTGAGTATGCCAAAACAGAAATCAGCTGCAACATCCTTATCAAACAGAAAAAGTATTCAGGAAACTTCCTCTCTAACCGCCTAAATTTTATAAGTAGAGTATAAGTTAAAGCTAGCTTGCTTACATCTTTCCTTTGAATGACAAACTGTGTAAATCCAGTGGTATTACGAGAGTCCTTAAATTAAGGTCGAGCTCCTATTACAACCAAACAAACTTACTTCAATCTAACACCAGGGCTGCGTTTGTTACTTTCAGTCACTAATATTAGACGATTTCCAAGCCTGTGCGACAATTCTTATTGTCATTGTAGCTGAAAACCGGCTATAATGGTGGATTAAGTAAAGAACACAACACGATGGATGTCAGTAGTGTTAGATTTGAGTTAGCTTGCCAGGTTGCGATGGAGGTCGATAGGGACCTTAATTTGTGAACAACTCTCAAGTTTTCAGGATATGTAAATTGGACAGAGGGTAAATTCAAACTTGGTTTATATACACAAAAAAGATATACAGGATATACACAGCTTTCCTGATAATTACTAAAATACCACTTGACTGCCTATCACAGACTACTATTAACAAGTCGTAGCACAAAAAAAAGGTATTTCCTAGGGTTTTTTAAATTACAAAATTAGAAAACCCTCTTTATAAATGACATACTAGTTACTTAAGTGATATTGCAGAGGTTTTATGAACAGTGTTGACTTATATTATAATTTTAAGCTCATCCTACGGATTAGAGAAAAACAAAATACCCCTACTCCATCAAACCTGTGGAGTAAGGGAATTTATAGTTGTCTGCTGGAATTTTATATTTATAGTTGTATTGTATTTTCTCCTTAACAATTAAACAAAATACAACGCTTCAGTCTCAGACTTTAGAGTCACAGTTGAATCTAAAAATGCATAACCTCAACAATCAATGCAACTAGTCCTGACTTGTGAATTAAAAACGTTGAGAGAACAATGCAAAAACCATGACTAAATGTAGGACAAGACCTACTGAGCTGTTTCTTTTTGTTGTGCATAGTAGGCTTCTAAGAATATTTTGATTAAAAGGAAGCCAAAAACAGCGTTTCGGTAAAAATATCTAATATTATAGTGTTAACCTATTGAACATCCTAACATGGTTTATACATTACTTACCCTTGAAGTAAACGACTCCCTTCTCCCCGCGCTCCACTTGGATGGTCTCGTAGGTCGCTCGGTTACACTCGAGTCTGATATTTGACCCAGCCTTGTACCCGACAAAGCCTTGCTCGCACTTCAGAACCAAGATAGGCCTAAAACATCAGGATGTAACTCATAACTCTTAATATAGTTTTACACATGCTTTAAAACGGGATGAGGATACAAAAAAGGATAATGTGATCTTCATTTTTGTCTTGTTTATTTTGAGTCTCGTTGACATAAATTATAAATAAAAATTTAAAATATCTCGTATTGCAGGACAATACAATCTTGTGACTCTTCTGCTTTGAGTAATGACTACGAGTATGTGTTTTGATGGTAGCACATCATTATCAAAAATACTCACAGCCTATGTCAGCTAGTGTGCACAAGACAGACACAGCCTACGTCAACCAGAGTGCACACAACAGGTTCCAAGTATTGACTGGATATTGATTGATCACAATTGCTGGATAAACGGTCAGTAATTTCAGAGATTTGATTCACTATATTTTTGTTAAATTTTTGTTTTTGAAGGAATAATTCTTCTTCTTTATAATGCTTGTTTGTTAGCTTGGGCATCTTAGAGTTGTGTATTAGATTTTAGTGTGCGAGTAGATCCCGTCTCGTGATAACGTGCGTTAAGGTTATTATTGGCAAGTTATTGCATAAATCACATTGTTTAAATAGGACCAGGCACTCTGGGCTTAATTAATGGATAGTTAGGACGAAGCCCGAGTTGCGTAGTCAGCAATGACCCCCTAGGAGAGTGGAGAATCGGCGTAGGTCTGGTGGTGATTATTGCACCTTTGTTTGGTGACTTGATTGTCTTGTTCATATATGAGCCAGCTCTATACTGGTTATATCCAGCTTTTGATCCAGTGGTTCCCCTTATAACAGACACTGAGCTATCTTGGTAAATGTTTGCGACCTGGCGATGTTTTTCCCGAGCAAGAAAAAGTAGTTCGGCAAAGATACAGGAGTACAAAATGCAAATGTTCCTAATGCAGCTATGAAAGTCTGTAAACTCAACTGGTAAAATATGTTTAGGTACTTCCTTATATTCACGCAGGAGACAAAAGTGGCAACGCCGCATTCCCGGCCTTTCGAAAACGCTGTTGAACTAATTTAAAATGGAGCGGCTACGCAGTGTTTGTATTTACACACATTCATTATTACTGTTATTACCATGGTAATATGCCAGCCAGTGCTACACTTCCACACACCAACACCGTGTCTTTGATTTACCTTTGTAAAACGTAATTTTGTTTCACTTTTGACATTACTTTAACACTAGTTTTGACGAGATCATTGCACAAAAGAAAGGATAACAACCTATCCCTAGTGGCTGACTGAAGAAGCCAAAACAGATGTAAGATTAGGTTTATACGACACAAGCATAGGGTGTCCACCGGCCAAGAAAACCGGAAATTATGCATGAATTTTGTATTTTTTCCTGGAATTTTCAATTTACTGCGATAGTGCATGACAACAGTGACGTATATCTGGGATTACTATTTTGCTGTAATAGCGGGAGACGATTATTATGTCTTCACGGCCGCGAGGGATGATCAGAAGTTTTACGGTGATCGCACAAGACAATGATAATGTCCACACGACTGCGGGAAAAAATTAGAATTTTACCTCCTTTGCGGAAGACGATGATGATCTCCACACGACCACGGGAGATGATTACCATTTTGCCACAATCTCGGGAGACGTTGTAATAATGTCTTCACAGCCCCAATGGATGATCAGAATTTAGCCCTGGTAGCAGAAGACGATGATAATGTCTACACAACCGCGGGAAACAGTCAGAATTTTGCTGCGATCGCGGATGACAACTACGGTGTCCACACAGCCACAAGGGGTTACCAGAAGTTTACCGCAATCGCATGCAAATAGAACCACCATTTTATTTATTTACCAATTGTTTGGCACCCCTCAAAAAAGTCAATTGCCTCGCGCCCTAAGCACGTGCCTATTCCATAAATCGGCCCTGAGCATATCAGTGTGTATTTTAGGGCTAAGCTGAACGAAGGATGAATGAGATGAAAGTAGACAGCTTTGTTACTAACTAAGACAACTAACTAGTTCTTTAGCTAGGATCATTAACTAAAAGCCAACTAAAGTACAAAGGAGTTCGGTTTAGAACCATCAAAAAATTACTATGACTTTTCCTAAGGATTGGATCTCATAAGGATTATTAAGGATTGAACCGATGACTGTAACCACCCAGCTCGGCCAGCTTTACATACCTGTTGACTAGGTAGAAGTAGTATTTGCTTGTGTCATCCACAGAATCAGAGTTAGCATAGAGATGTCCGGAGCGTTTTGTCGCAATCAACTTTCCATTGTTGGCTCGGAAACTGACAGAACCATCTCCGTTCCATACAAGATCAAACAATGCATTGGAAGATCTGTAAAATAAACAAAGAATAAATTTTAAAATTTAGTTGCCTACTGCAATGCAAAATCAAGTTTGTTTATTTAAACGGTTTTTGTAAAAAGGGAGGGAAAAAACTCTCGTCTTAGTAACTGTCTAACGTCATCATTGATTGATACCATCAATAAAACAATTTATAGCCCATGACAGATGGCATTGGGCCCAAAATTAATTTTGCTTGGACTTGAACCAGCAACCTTTAGATTTAAGGGTGAGTACTAAGCAGTGGATGGATTTTTAACTTCCACCTAAACACACAAACTCCAACTTAAACCTAATTTATCAGACATTAAATTAAATCAAAATTCTTTTGTAGGTATAAACTTTAACATTAATCCAAAAAAAATTAAGAATATTCCTGAATTAATTCAAGTCTTGCAAAGAGAATTGATTTTTTTTTCATCTTAACCGACCATTTATATGATCAAATACGGTACCAAGGAATCACAGGATAAGACTGTAAACTGCAATCAGTACCTTAAAACGACCCCTTTAAACGCATCTGTATGAATTCAAAAGAGCTTTAGTACCAATTGGTTCAGGCATCTACTGTACTTTCTGGTTGTTTTAGCGCACTACAAACCACACAGCTTGTCAACCCATCATACCTTCATACCTCTCCGCTAGCTCTCAAGTCTTGGTAGCAGTGTGATTAGACAAGACCTGTGACTGAGGTGATGAGTAAGTTATCATTTTATTTATCTCACATTTTACAAGTAAAGCAGTGGCATTTATAATTTGTAGGTTATTTTTCATTTTGTGATGGATGGCTTGTAAACAGAAGTCATTGTTAGGTTTCCCTGATATTTCCATACACATTTCTTCCCATTTCCCTCCTAACTCACCTGACTTTTCTCCAGCTTCATGGATGTCACAATCAGGTCCTAACATACAGTTGCAGTAGTCTTGCATAATCCTAACATACTATCACTCATTTTATCCCTTACTCCAAGGATGTTTCCTTTCCCGGACTCACCGCTTGTCGCCAGCTGCCTGGATGCCACCACCAGTCTCCAGCGTCCAGTAGCGGTCCTGCATAGTCCTCACGTACCATCGCTGAGTTCCTGCGTCCCATTCCAGCTGGAAGGTTTCGTGATCGCTGATTTCGTCTTGGTTTGCCGTCACATCCACACCTGCAAAGACACAGAATGTTATTTCACACAAATATAAGTTTGTTAAAAAGCTCAAACCCTCTTCTTTTCTTAGTTGTCTTTTGTCAACTGGTGAATTTCCAGATTTAGGCCCTACTGTCTGAGTAATTACCGATGACCAAAAAACTGTAAGGCAGGTAATGTACTCTTTCTCAGCAGCAAATACAATTTCTGCATTTTTACTTGAAGCCACTGAAGCCATCTAGGTAACCTGCCTCAAGTAACTGGAAATACACTAGGGGCTACACCTACAACCCCCCCCCCCCCCCCCGGCCCAGGAAACCCCCTCTTGACAATGCAGAACCCCATTTCTACCTATTTTCATACCATGTTTTAAAACTGCAAAATGCCAAATTATTGTGTTTCCAAACCACAGTTTAAAGAAATTCATAGACATGAAAACCATAAATCCCACTGTTCACTTAACACAATCCAGAATTGACATAAGCTACGGCCAAAGTCAGAGAATTAAAATATTTAAGAAATAATGTTGGCTACATTTGACTGAATCAATGTTTTTCAAATTCGTTTTAGAAGAAGCTAAGAAGTAAGAAGAACATGCATCAGAAGATGGCACTAAGCACTAACCACTCAAAGCAAAAACTTTTCGCGGGAATCCCTGGAATTGATTGTGGGAATATCAGCTGATTAATGCTGACTCTCTCTGACAGCTGTTTATTCTCGTTCTACATCACAGATGACACGCAGGCTTGCCAATCCCGGCTGGGAGATCACGGCGGTAAAAATTCCCTCGGAGAAAGTAAAGTGGAGATGACCTTGGCGTTTTCGCTTAACGTTTTGGGTTCACTGACTGAAGATGTTAAGTATCTGTGATGAGAAAAAAAGTAGAAGAGACTGATTTGACTTTTACTTAACTAGAAAATTCAACCAAAAATTGAATTGTGGTTCATTTCACTAGTTAACATTATTATAACTAGGGAAAAACTTCGGGCACAAAATTATTTTTACATTTTAATCCTCAGCCATTTACCATAAATATAAAAAAATCACTTTCATTTAGTTTATTCTGAGTAACGATGTATATACATACTGTAAATATAGTTTTACAACCAATTATAATTTAATTGCCATTGGTAATTTTCCATTTTACACCACCCCTTTTTCTAGTATTCAATATTAAAACAAATGCTAAGATACAAATGTGAAATATTTCTTAAAATACTAAATTTTGGTTTTATTGAATACATTTTAAATCCCTACAAAATTTTCTGATACACTAAAAAAACCGGTGATAATATTTCCGTTGATAAATTGAAAAAAAAAAAACCTTTAAAATACATCAGAAAACATGTGACGCCTGTGAATTGTGTTTTTGAAGAGTTGCAAGCTTTGAAAATGTTGTCAACGAAACGTGTAAGCTGATGAACAATATGCGTTGGACTATTTGACGGACGGATGAAAAACCTATTATTATCTTTAAAAATAGGATGAGTCTACCAGTAGTATACAAAGTCGATGGTAGTTTATAGACGAAGAAAGTTGTGTTACTTGACATATCTAGAGATATCCTTCTCCTTTCACTGGAACGTGTTGAGGTTTCCTTTTCCTACAAGTCCTTGACCGTCAGCCAGGACACGACCAAACGAGTTCTACTCATGATGACTCTAGCTTCGATTTAACGACTTTTCTCCTACGTTTCACATTGCTAAGTAGCTTACTGGTTAGGTGTCTGTTTTCGTCCTGTAGTAGTTGCGTTGAAGGACAATAGGTGTCTGTTTTCGTCCTGTATTAGTTGCGTTGTAGGACAATAGGTGTCTGTTTTCGTCCTGTAGTAGTTGCGTTGTAGGACAATAGGTGTCTGTTTTCGTCCTGTAGTAGTTGCGTTGTAGGACAATAGGTGTCTGTTTTCGTAGTGTAGTAGTTGCGTTGTAGGACAATAGGTGTCTGTTTTCGTCCTGTAAGTTGCATTGTAGGACAATAGGTGTCTGTTTTCGTCCTGTAAGTTGCATTGTAGGACAATAGGTGTCTGTTTTCGTTCTGTAGTAGTTGCGTTGTGGGACAATAGGTGTCTGTTTTCCTCCTGTAGTAGTTGTGTTGTAGAACAATAGGTATCCGTTTTCGTCTTGTAGTAGTTGCGTTGTATGACAAAGGGTGTCTGTTTTCGTCCTGTAGTAGTTGTGTTGTAGGACAATAGGTGTCTGTTTTCCTCCTGTAGTAATTTCGTTGTATGACAATAGGTGTCTGTTTTCCTCCTGTAGTAGTTGCGTTGTATGACAATAGGTGTCTGTTTTCCTCCTGTAGTAGTTGCGTTGTATGACAATAGGTATCTGTTTTCCTCCTGTAGTAGTTGCGTTGTAGGACAATAGGTGTCTGTTTTCCTCCTGTAGTAGTTGCGCTGTAGGACAACAGGTGTCTGTTTTGTCCTGTAGTAGTTGCGTTGTAGGACAATAGGTGTCTGTTTTGTCCTGTAGTAGTTGCGTTGTAGGACAATAGGTGTCTGTTTTGTCCTGTAGTAGTTGCGTTGTAGGACAATAGGTGTCTGTTTTCGTCCTGTAGTAGTTGCGTTGTAGGACAATAGGTGTCGGTTTTCCTGCTGTAGTAGTTGCGTTGTAGGACAACAGGTGTCTGTTTTCGTCCTGTAGTAGTTGCGCCGTAGGACAATTTTCTGGACCTAGATGCCATTCATTCTTCATTGTGCTATCAATTACCAATACTATACAAAGGACGTCTTTAGATCGTGTTGTAACACTGTAAAAACGTTATACTCAAGGAATGGATGATCAAATTAAATCAACACTTAACAATTCAATCCTGGTTTTAAATAAATCGTTAATAGTTTTAATATTATAACAAAAACTACTTTAAAGTACTTTCTGTACTAATGGGATCAAGTTTTAGCAATCGCGTTGATGAAAATATAATTTATACTCAACACATTGCTATTAAATGTTGGACCCGTCTTTCCCGTTTTCCGACACTTTCCAGAATTGTACACAGAAATCAATTAAATTTCCCCGTTACAAACCAAGCCGTTTCATTAGCCAGGACTTTTAGTTAAAATTCGTTCATAAAGGAAGCTGGGTCCAGTAAAAACAAAAAAATCATAATGCTTCAGGATTGAACCGGCGGCTTCTGACCGAGATGCGAGTGCTAAACCATTCAGAACCACATTAAGACACTCATCACAACTGGCATTAGATTTTACAATACACTGAGTACGGTACCCTGCTTGCATTATTGAAAGTCAGTGACACTAAACTCCGACATAACATATTCAATTCGAACTACTCCGACAACGATAATCAGAGTTGAAACTGGGGTATGTAAAGTACCAAAGCCTCTCTCTATCTGCTCTATAATTTGACCAGTTTCACTCATCGCCTCTACCCGCCAGAAATGCTCTACTTCCCTCCAATCCAACTTTCCATTGTCATGTTATCAAGATTAAACCACACGAGTAATTATTGTGGTACGAGGAAAACAGTGGGATGAATCTGGGTGAAATGTGTTTGAAATTAATTCTGAACGTTTGTGGTACAGACAGAGCTGTTGGCATTGAATAGGGAGACTGGTGTGGTGTACCTTGGATTACATTATAAATTGTATTTTTATCAACTGTTTAGTATAGCTGTATAATCAAAGAACCACCACCTACTATTCACTATAAACTCGGGAACATTTTGTAAATAGGTATTTTATAAACAATTGTTACCTTTCTTTTATTATTTTTTATGTCTTTACAAAATTATCCACGGTACAATGGTCATTGAAAAGTGGTGTAGGCTGTAGGCTATTGTGGGACTAGCGTAATATACAGGGCCGAAAAAGTCCCGGGACAAATAGATATTCAAAAAAGTTATGAAGACAGAGCATAAAAATTTAGTACACACTTACTAGGCAATAAAATTATAACTATTCAGAAATACACTACCTCCTCAGGGCCACGGTCCGCTAGGAGGCAGAAGAAAGTCTTAAATTTAAGCATAGATTGGTATGCACATCACCTACTAATAAAGACATAAAAATATGATGTACATACCAATCTATGCCTTCCCCCTGAGGAGGTAGCGTGTTATTGAATATTGGTGTAACTTTGTACTAAGTTTTGTAGCTATATCTTTATTATTTCTATAAATATTTAACTGTCCCTGGACTTTTTCTCCACCCTGTTTCAGTATATCCCATCAATATGGCCTAAACTGAGTCGTCACTTCCACACCAGTTGTATAACAACGAGAGAAGATGAGACAAAATGAAGACGAGTCCTTCCAGCAGACGACAAAGGTGTGAATCAGCTGTTTAATATTCATCTAGTCATACGACTTCCGGTGGGAAATGGCGCCAACAACCGTGTAATTGTCTGGAGGCAGACACAGAGTAAGACTGTGCATAGAGTAAGAAACGCGGCGAATCGCTATTCAATGGTTGTGATTGATATTTGGTCAAGGTAAAAAACTAAGCTTACAAATTGGCGAAAAATAAATGCTATCGATTCTTTTCATTTTCAAGATTTAGTTCCACGATCATAGATGAATGGACATGGTATAGTGTTCGCCTAACAAACTGAATCGGTCCTGAGAAAAGTCAGTGGGCTTTTGGTTCGACCACTGACTTTATAATATCTACACAGTTACAGATAAACTCGTTTTAATGTGGTTTTAATCGGTAAAAATGCTACAAGGATCATCTCAACCCATTCCGCACTAATCTTGCATTAATTTCAGCTTAATATATGCACCTTAAATAAGCTCTCAAAAGTAACGGTAGTAATGGTAATCATTACTTGAAAGTTTATTTTATTTATTTTCTCGCAAACCTTTATCTCAACTACTAAACATTTTACAGTGACTTTAATAGTTGTTCCTATCTTCGACCTTCAGTGTGCGATGTTGTTAGGTATTTTTTGCAACTAAATGAGTAATTTCTGGTCGTGATAGCTTTTTTATTAAACAATTTGTTTCAGACTAGATAAAAAAACGTCTCTTTGATAAAAGAGAATAAAATATACATACGTTAAATATATTTGAGAAAACATGTACATTTTTAAATGCAAAACATTGCATGTTTACGGTACAATTAGTCAAACCGACTAAAACTAGTGTAATAAACTTATTTCAAATTAAAACTCTCGTATTGCATAAGAAATCGATAAAACACAATCCCTTTCGCATACAAACTACAACAATAAAAACCTGGAGACATCAACGATTTATCCAAAATAAATAAAAGGACAATTTCAAAAGTATACAATCAAAGTTAATCATATCCAAACTCTAACACCATTCTAGTACTAACGTGTAGGCATACATAAGAAAAAACGTATCCAAAAAAGGAAAATGTAATTTCAGAAATACACAATTAAATATAGATCTCAATTGTAATACAACCAACGCTTCATTAAATGGTGTGACAAACATATACTCCAACAATGTTTCGAGAAATAAATTCAAACTAACCCCGGAAGTGATTTTGAACTTAGCGACCCCGACTGACCTGCCCCAATCAAAAAGTGCGCGCGCAGTGCCCTCCCCAAAATATTATCTTTTCTCCCCCCCCCCTCGCTCCTTTATTGATCACTAGAGGGGTACAACAGTAGTGTATTGATAAAACCAGCCGTGTGTTGTCTGGTCGGGGGTGTGTTCACGAGGGATGAAATTCACTTGTCATGGGGTCAGTGAAAACTTAACACTTCCAGGTCGAAATTAGGTGTATTTTCATTGTCTTTGGGTTTTTTATTTAAACCTGAAGTATTTTGCAGTACGGTATTTGAAAAAAAAATAAAACATCAAACTTAAATTATTGCGAGTTGAAAATTGTATTTGGTACCGATTATGTTTTATAACCGAGTGTAGTAACGACAAGGTTAGCTTGAGGTCGAGCTAAGGAGGGAAATCAAAATAAAAACATACGGATTCGCCACTTTAAACATCCGAAAGTGAATTAATGACTTTTATTTTCGTCGAGAGGTGAAAACAAGTTCATAACTCTGTCCGGGAATTTGAAATCCAGGTCGAATGGGACCGGTAGATTCAGAGTAACTTACAGTGAAAGGTGTTTTACATGAGAATATAAATATTCAGTATTAAAACAATCAGGTACTTTCTCTCATTCGGTTCTCCAGTTTTAAAGATATTTTTAAAGATCTACTTTACCTCTACAACTATTTAAGAATTATTTGATTGATAATTATTTAACACTCGCATTATTCACCTTATAGCCACCATAATCTTAATAAATCTTAGTCAATAGTGTTAATTAAACATTATAGACCACTCATTACATCAGGTTATAACACAAAATACAAAACAAAGAACACACGAAAACGTCAAAAAACATCAAACGTAAAACTTGTACTTAAAACTTTAATTTATGTCATAAACACAACCACTTTATTATCTTTCTATTGCAGACAGCACATCATTAGATTAATTACATCACAACAAAATTGATCAATAAATAATAGGTTGTATTGTTAGGAACTCAACTCGCTGCCAAGCTTTGAAAAATGAACTAATTTTAAAGCTTCCTGTTAAAATATTACCAAAGCTTCACCCATTACCTTGGCTGTCTTCAGATTCTTGTTCTGGCGTTTTGGCATAAAGGCCGAAATTTCGACCCATATTTTGTTGCCCTGAATAAAGATAGAATATTAATTATTTTAAGTCTAAGTTTTGCTGGGTATAGAAAACCAAACTGTTATTGTTTTACTGTAGTTCGATTTTATTGGGAATTGGCACCATAATATCTTACAGGTTCTTAATCCAAAAACTTTTAAATATAAGGCGGATTAAAAATAAAGTAACTGTCTTTAATTGTCTAGATTTGTAAAACCAAATAGAATTTTAAAATGAATCAAGCCCCCTTTAAGTTAAATTTAAAATAGTGCATGCTTTCCTTCTTTCAAAACATAATGTAAGCATGTATTTAACGGTTGGGAATATATTTTTATGTGAACTAGTTATTGAAACACTTGGCAAATAACTTTATTAGCTTATATTTTTCTGGAATACTCTTTAATGCGAACTATTCGGCAAAATTAAATTCAAGTTGACTCTCAAGACCATTGCACAGAGTACGCCTGACCATCAATATATCTGACAATCTTGACAACCAGAGGAGTAGTTGGCGCAATTCAGGAATACCCGACTACCTGACTGAGGTCAGTTGGCGCAATTAATGCCCACCCTAACGAACTATTCTAATTTCTTTACAACAATTTCACGTTTTTACTAGACTTAAAATTAGGCCATATAATCAATGTAGTATTTGAATTAACTACGTTTTTGGATTATTACAGCTAACAGACTGTTTATAAAAAAACTAAACTGTTAAACCTTAGGTTGACATAATTAGGCCTAACCAACTTTCCATCCCAAATCACTAACGTCTAATTAATCATATGCTCATAGCGGTAATACCATCATAAACTGTACTCGTGCGGTAAAACGAAATGAAAACGCTGACCTGGAAACATGAATAATGCGCGTGCGAGAAACGGAACTGAGTGAAGAGGTTAGGTTAGGTTGTAAATATCAGAACTGGTTTGGCGGCTCAGCTGGAATCCGTTAGTCAGCTGATGAAGCAAGTGACGTTCACTAATCAGCTGATTCTGTCTAACAAATCAGCTGTGCTTCGTTAGTCAGCTGATCAATTGCGATTTCCGAGACGATATGGCCTATCGTATTTTATTCTAGTACTTTCTTGTCCTGTTGATTACTTGCACTGTTGCATTTCTTCTTGGTCTTTCACATGTATTGTTGAGTTTATGATAGTAGTTAAACTAAATTAATAAAAAATGTATCCATAATCAATAAATCAAAGACCGTTGGGTGCCCTGAATTATTTTAAATGCATACTATTTGGAAAAAGTTTGCTAAAATTAGGCAAGTTTTTTTAATGTTATGTTTGAATTGTGAGTATGAAATTATTATTAAATAATCATCCTAACCTAAAATAACTCTAGCGAACTTATTAGGGGAGTAGAGGGCAGCAAACAAAATTTAACTTATTAATCAATTCATTAAAACAAGATTTTTTCAAATAACACTGAATAGAACCAACAAATGGACTGATTTAAACATGAAAATTTATCAAAGTGATAACTATTGTGACTAGTAATATGTTCCAGCTTAGCCTATTATCGGGTTTTAAGTCAACTTGGATTGAATCTCTTGTAAGAAGAAATTGAAAATGAAACTCTCGCTGACTCACAGTCCTCATAAATTTTATTGTGTATTTTACAAGTTAGTGAAGATTAAGTCTTAGTACATTTTACTTGACTGTGTATTTTTGACCTAGCTAAACAAATGAGTATAACAATTTGTGTATTCTAATGAAGGACTAACACCTAAAAATAAACCACCTCCCCTTTATTCCGCAGAGCGCATCTTAAAGTTGACAAAACGCAATGGAATTCCGCATTACAAAATCAAATAAACATGTTGCATTTCGAGTATTTTAAGACATCCTAACTCACACGTCCTCCAAGTTGAATTACACGCTAGAACGCTTCCTCGCTCTCGCTGAAATAGAAAACATCCGCGGCAGGTGGGAACGGTCCAAGCCCTACAAATAACAGCTATCACTGTGTATTTTATCACGGGTTTGCGTAATTAATGCGTCCCCTGTTTTATTGAGTGCGAAAGTGTTTAGAGTAAGTATTTTGAGAGAGCTAATTTGGGCTGATTAATATTGCAGAGGGTTTAACGTTTCGTAGTGTGAGCTGGTTGCAGTGATGTAGAATACATAAAGATGACTTTGTGTTTGTTTTGCCTTATTTCACAAGGTGTGTATAGCAAAATAAAATAAAAAATAACAATAACATTACTGTAGGCGTGTGCGCCATGAGGCTATTTACTCCTATAATCATAAGTTATTTATTTTTAATTATATTACATTTTTCGTGTTAATATTTTAGTCATAGTGATTAACCCCCTGACTCAACTAAACATCGATTTAAAATGTCCAATATGTAAATTACAAGGTCATATAGGCGAGATAAATGTTAGTTGATTAAAGAAAATTTAAACATTTTCTTGTAAAAACTTTTAAACTAAAATATGTAAGGGGACAGCACTTTTTTTTGCTTGTCCTAACATAATTTAGGTTACTTCTCAAGGTATGCATATTATATAAAAACTGTATAATGCTTGTGTAATGTGACTGTTAACAGGCTAATGTGAATGGCCTTGTATACTAAACATGGAGTATAGCTATGGAACGCACCTAGTATACACGTTTAACAATGGTTGTATACTCTTACAAATGTCTTGTATACAAGAGCTTACAGCATAAGTATAGACTTGTATATGAATGTTTTATAGTGTTGAGAGCGGGGGCCTCCTTTCAAAGAGATTCTTTTTTAATTTAGGTTTTTTATTTATTTATTTTTTTTTTTTTTTGTAATGACATAATGCCTTGATTGCGTGGTTCGGTTCGGAGACCACCTTATAATGTGGATTAATCTATTTAAAAAACAAAACTAATAGGTTAATCAAGGAAGAATTTATTCTGTGTAGTACTGGAGAGTCCCTTGGCAAAAGAACCACAAATCGACCTGATTATATTACGTTTACTAAACCAATTTATCAAAGCATAAGTTGTTAAATTTTCTAGAAAATCCTTCTAAATTGTAAAATAATAATATTTTTATTCGTTGAGGTTACAGCTTAGTTACATAACCGATGGTTTATCAACTTCATGACGTAATATTATCCATCCTAGGCCTATCCGAAAGGATGTTACATATTTAAAAATTTTCCAAAGGAAGTGCTAAACGTTTTTCGTTCAAAGGATTGGATTTGGATAGGAAAATATTTTAAATTGTGCAACGGTTCTTTGTGTAAATAATAATAAGAAAATTTAGTGTAAATGTTATACTATGCATACTTGTCATTGAGAAAAAACGAATAAAAATGAACTAACAATGAATTCACACTTGTATTACAAATATTAGTTTAAAAAGTAAATAACCTCATACCTCAATTTCTTTTAGTACCAAACATCCATAGCACCAATATGAAAAATTAAAATTATTACTTTTGATTTGTATACAGTTTCGTTAAGGTGTTCTGAATATTGTTAATTACCTACGCACGTGATTGAAACAAAGTTTATATTTTGACAACGAGTTAATGGTAGATGACATTTTTTGACAACATACATTAAATAAAGTTTCGCATAAAGATATTCTTGTCTAAACACTCCATGTTCGTTTGTTATTCCTCGGTAGATAGATTATCTTTGTGTCAAAGTAACCAAATGCACGTGAAATTGTAACGAGCAAATAAACTAACATCCAAATTTATTTATTTATTTATTTATTTAAGATGCGAACAGTACAAATACGTAATATCATAGACAAATAGAATTAAATAGACCGACAACAGTGCTGCGGTTAGCATAAGTTCTGGCGACCACCGCTAGGAGTGCGCACGTTACGACGCACGCACTACGTAACTACACGGCACTCCTAGCGGTGGACGCCAGCACGTATGCTAACCGCAGCACTGCTGTCGGTCTATTTTTAATTCTATTTATGGTAATATGTTTACACATTATAACATTAGGGTTCAAATTAAACCTCAAATCGCAGACTCTCATACATAAAACTGAGGAGGTACCTCTATATTAGACCCTCTTAACTGTCAAGTATCAAAAATCGATCCTGAGATAAAATGAAGTGTGCTAGTTTAACCCTTGAACTACATAGGGAAGCCCTTGCTGAAACTCGATGACTCACCCCCACCCCCTCAACACTAGACTGACTCACTACTTAGGGAACGATGGGAACGATTAGATCAACTTTCGAGTGGGGGAGGGGCGCGAAACAAACAGGTACTGTGAGTGCAATACTAAGTCCAAGTTATTAAGCGAAATTTTAATTTCATTAGTTAAAAGGTATTTTTATTTGGGACTATTTAATATTTTTGTATATTAATGTGTATCCATTTGTACAGTGCTAAGGTTAAAATTACAATGTTTACATAATGCAATGCGTTGCCATGGTAACCCATAAGGCTCAATGTTAAATATGTGCGGCAGTGCGGCAAAAGTAAAATTAGTGCGACAAAAGTAAGTAAATGCAGCAATTAACTACTTTGCGTGCTATAATCAGTACAAGAAAGCTCTCTTTGTCAGGTAACTGTGGGTAATTTTTTTATATATTCAAGGCCAAGACGCATATGACCCACATTTTCAAATTAAATTAACCCAATTACAGAACGCGTCAGAAATAAGCTTGGGTCTTTGAAATTTAATACATACGAGATAGCTTGGCTCAAGTTAAAACATACGACCAGTATGTCAGACGTGTTTCGCAACCGGCGAAAATACTTTGAGTCAACTGTTTAATCGGATTTTATTAAATCACACTAAAATACTCTTCTACATTCAAGGTGATTCCATGATATTTACAGAACTGCATTAATGCGCATGTTTATAATAAATTTTGGGACAATTTTAGAAGAATTTACAGATTACATTTTTTGTGTGGAGGAATGTATTTCATTTACAAAATTTGTGAAGGTGCGAACACTGCTGATTAATTTATTTGTGTACAATTTTGTTATTTCTACGCCATCCATTCATAAAAAATAGCTATTTTCTATACATTATGATCTATATTATTTG